CCTGCTGCCCGAGGCCCGGCCCGACGTGGAGGCCCTGGACGCGGGCCTGGAAGACCTGCTGGCGCGCGTGGACGAGTTCGTGGGCATGCTGGACATGATCCGCGGAGACTCCTCCCACGTGGTGAGCGACGGCGTGCCGCGCATCTACGCCCAGGCGGCGGCCATGAGGCGCATCTACAGCAGGATCGACAGACTCGAGGCCTTCGTGCGGATGGTCGGGGGCAGCGTGGCCCGCATGGAGGAGCAGGTGGCCCGGGCCGAAGCCCACCTGGGCACGTTCCCCAGCGCGTTTAAGAAGCTCCTGCACACCATCAGCGCGCCCTCCTTGTTCAGCAGGGCGTCTTCCCCGAGGCGGCAGCCCAGCGGGTTCGAAGCGCCCGTCGTGTTTCGGACCGAAGACCACTTCCCGTGTTGGAGCGAGAGACCGCAGGTGTGAGTCTGCGCCACAACCGCTCCGCGAGACCCTGTTGATAGACGCGTCTGGTGTCCGACGGAGTATCGGATTTTAAGTTTATTTTCTGTAAATGCCATTTCTCAGTGTCTTCACGAGTTCACATAGAACGCAGCATTTTCTACGTCTTCCAATTCTCACCTGAAAGCTGCTTGCTTGCTGGGGAGATCAGGGAAGCAAAATGGATTTTACAATTCAACGAACAGTCCTAACTTTTTCAGATATATTTATATAATCTTAAGGAAAACTACTGAACCATCAAAGCCTTGTTATTCAATCCTAATAGTTAACTCACTTTTCTATAGCTTACTTTTAGGCAGATGGTAAATTATTTAACATTATATTAAACTCTCCGTGTCTTGGATTGTAAACTGAAGGAAATTATACAATTTCTGAGAAAATATATTGATTTATTGCAACTAATTCTGAAGTTGTATTTGAAGGTATGGCCTCACAGTCTCAGTTTGTACATAGCAAACATGTCTATATATGGTTGCCAATGTTTGGTATATAATAGTAATAAAATTTTATTGGAAAAGCTTTCCTTCTCGAAAGGACTTTACACATTTCCTTTTTTGTTTGAAATAGATTGCGCATATGATTTTAAGAGTGGGATAAAGAAGAGTGGCTTGGGGCGTACCTTCTGTGGAAGGCTAGTGGGAAGAACGGACATCAGCTGCTACACAGCATTGTATGTTTCTTTCCCCTCAAAAAGTATAGTTAAATCACTGTGTGACTAACATTAGTGTTTTGTTCTTTTTTCACCGTGATGACACGGAAAGCTTACGTATCTCAGATAGAATAGGCTTTCGTTTTGGTTCTAAGCGGTTTATAAGGCGTCCCTCCTAGATGGCAGAGTCCAGATAAGCACACAGTTTAGCTGTCTTTGTGTGTCATTATCAAAGTCTTTGAGGTTGAGAGAGTATGTTCTCATTTTAGCTGTTCAAGGAAAGTCTGATGATCTATGCCTTAGCTTTCATAGACCTTCTGAATCACACATTTACGTAGTTGAATAGGAAAATAGTTTTTGCCCTATATAGCATCTATATTGTTAAAATGGCTTTTTAATTTGTGGTTAATATTAAGAGTAAGTAGGATGAATTATGAAAACTAGAATAATTTTAAAGCTGAGATTTAATATCTGCATAACAGAAACCTTAAATTCCATAATGTATACATTATAATAAAGTATAACTATTAGGATTGTATAATGCTTAGGTATTCACTTTCATTACCTATGAAAAAGGAAATGGATTGAGAAGATTAAAAGTGTAATAACTAGTAAGAGTTAAATTCACCTTAACAGCTTTTAAAGCTAAACAAATAAAAAGTTCTGGCAATACTACAAAAGAAAAGAGCCCTGGTTTAGATGATAGATTATATGATTACATGTGCAGCTTATCTCTAAAGGACCTTGGATTCTGAAACTCTTACTCAATTTCTGAATAGAAGTTTGTGTAGGGCCTTCTTGTTTGGAATGGGGCCTTGAAGCTGATCCTGAAAAGTATAGAACACACAGTGCATGACGGTCGGCCGTCTCAAGAACGGAGACTGTGAGGAGAAGTTTGTGTAGGGCCTTCTTGTTTGGAATGGGGCCTTGAAGCTGATCCTGAAAAGTATAGAACACACAGTGCATGACGGTCGGCCGTCTCAAGAACGGAGACTGTGAGGAGGCACTGCCGCCTTCACCCCTCCTGGCTCGCTCTCCCGACCCTGACCAGGCTGGAGAGTCAGGAGCCCTTCTGGTTCGGGAAGACTGGTCCCTCTACCGCTTCCTAAGTAACAAGTTGGGGAGGGTCCCACCGCTGGAGCTGTAGGGGAGGCCCAGTTGTCATCTAGGTGACCCCTGTAGACCATCTCTACTGGTGAGGGCCGGAGCTCCCTCACTTTCCAGAAGCATTAGGGGTGAGGTCTAATAAAGGTTAGGAGGGGCACTAAAGTTGGCCCCACAAGTCACACTGGAATCATTTAACTCTCACACCCAAGGCCACGGTAACTGCTGAGAGCTTTCGGGAGGTGCATAGGACATTCCCTCAGTCCGAAGAGACTGGCATCCGGGAGTCAGTCTGTGCATATATATAAAACTGGACACTAATGAGCTGTGGAACTTGTGGCTTCTTTCTGTTAGTCATCTAGTGCTGCTATAACAGAAATAACCACAAGTGGCTGGCTTTGGCAAACAGATGTTTATTCTCTCACAGTCTAGTAGGCTAGAAGTCAGCTCCAGAGGAAGGCTTTCTCTCTCCGTCGGCTCTGGAGGAAGGTCCTTCTCGTCAATCTTCCCCTGGTCGAGGAGCTCCTCAGTGCAGGGACCCCGTGTCCAAGGGAGGCACTGTGCTCCCGGTGCTTCTTTCTTGGTGGTATGAGGTCCCCCAGTCTCTCTGCTCGATTCTCTCTTTTATATCTCAAAAGAGATTGGCTTAAGACACAATCTAATCTTGTAGATCTCATCAACATAACTGCTGCTAATCCATCTCATTAACATAATAGTGATAGGATTTACAGCACATAGGGAAATCACATCAGATGACAAAATGGTGGACAATCATACAATACTGGGAATCATGACCTAGCCAAGTTGACAGATATTTTGGGGGGACACAGTTCAATCCATGACACCCCACCCCCCAATCCAGAACTTACAGGAGCATTAGTCTTGGACCATGTGGGGGAGTCAGGTCCATCATTGAGCACGTGTACAGGAGTTAGACAACCTGGTGTGAACCGGCTGTGATCTAGGGCAAGAAGTAAATATTTTAGAATCGCAGGCCCTATGATTTTTTGGCAACTACTCAGCATCTGTGTAGTCTGAAAGCAGCCATAGACAATATGGAAAGAAACGGGCATGGCTGTGTGTTAATAAAACTTTATTTATAAAAACGTGGCTGAAAACAATCTAAAAAAAAGAATAAAGGATTCACACTTCCTAATTTCAAAACTTACTACAATGTTATACTAATCAAAACTGTGTGGTACTGACATACGGACGGCCACATGGATCAATGGAATAGAATTGAGAGTCCAGGAATAAAACTATACATCTACTGATTTTCAACCAGAGTGCCATGACCAATGGGGCAAAAATAGTCTTCTCAACAAATGGTGCTGGAACAACTGGGTATCCACATGTAAAATAATGAAGTTGAACCCCTACCTCACACCATAAACAAAAATTAAAATGGTTCAGAGACCTAAATATAAGAGCTAAAACCATACAACTCTTAGGAGAAAACAGAGGTAAGTCTTCATGATCTTGGATTTGGCATTGGTTTTTTAGATATGACACCAAAAGCACAAGTAACGAAAGAAAAAATAAAGTCTTCATCACAGTTAAAAACTTTGTGCATCAAAGGACGGGTGACTGGCTCATGGATCATACTTTGAGGATCCCTGAATTCTAAGGCACGTTGTTTATATATGTTCACATCTACCTGGTAGGGCGCTAGTGAGAATCACATGAGGCCGTGCATGGTGTTATCTCTTGCTGGATAACAAAACTCTGAATTGCCGGGAATTTCTGAAAGATGGCAGATGGGAGTTCAGATGTTTTGGGGAGACAAGCCCAAAGAGAAACGGTGCAAAGCCTTCAGCACAAGGAGGGGTGGCTCAGGGGAGACAGGTTCAGACCCAGAAGTCAATGAATACCTGACAAGCGTCCTTGTACGAATGGATGGTGACGCGTGGCTGGACTTCATGCTTAGAAGGTGAGAAAGGGCTCTTGAAACGAGACTTACTGATAGGAAAACCTCCTAACAGTCTGGAGTTTAAAGTAGCTCGGCTGAACAGCTGTCAAAAGCAGCAAGAAAGGAAGATTGACAGCATTAGTTCCAAGGATTGTTTTTGCTGCTGAAGGTGAATAAGAGAACGAGGAGCATGAGATCAACAAGTATACGTGTCCAATTCTTCTGGAAGATCTGCAGGCACCATCCCCCAAAACAGCCCGAATGCACTCCATCCTACCTATTCCCGCCACTGTCATCTCACCAGGGCCACTCAGCATCCTCGTTAGTGGCTCCCTGCTTCCCTCCCCTGCAAGCCACCCTCCATGTAGGACAGAGCAGCCAGAGGGGTCTTTAAAAACGGTAGCATGTTGGACCCTATTAGCTTCTTGTTACATTAGAATAAAATCCAATTTCCATTCTAGGGCTCCTGCCACCACACCTGACCTCCTCTTGCTTACTGACCACCCTTTCCTCGCTCGCTCCTCTCCCTCCTTGGCCTCCTTGATCTGGAAGAGGCCAAGTATGTCTCCTTCATAGCAGGCACTCCAACTTATGGAAGGCATTTGTAACTGTCTGATGGCTGCCTGCCTCCCACCTCCAAGCTGCAGGCTCCAGAGGTGGCACCGAGCCAGCCCTTTCAGGAACCTGGTGCATAAATGACTCAGTGGCCAAGTGAGTAAGCAACTAGACAAAACCAGGCGCCCCGTCAGGAGTAGAGGAGGGACAGAACGCCAGATACAGAAATTCAATCAGACAAACGCTTGTTGGGAACAAGCACGAAGGGAGGGCTGGGGACATGCAGAAAAATGTGGTTTCTGCTCCCAGGAGCTTGGGGTGGTGGGCAGAAGGCCAGATCCCAACCTAGTCCACTCCAGGTTCAAGGACTGACCTTGTTAAAAATGGTGTAGACATTAGCATTCCTGTGGGCTCAAAGGGGACCTCCTTTTTCACCATGCTCCAGGGATGTTGATATAAACTTTTGGAACTAGCTTTCAAAGGAGATTCATTTTACATATCAAAAGATTAAAAGCATTTGTTTAAAAATCTCTTCTAGTATTCATGCCCACTAAGATAGCTATCCCCCACGTGTCCATCATTTTGTCGTACTGCATGGGCTTGCGTGTTGCTGTGATGCTGGAAGCTATGCCACTGGTATTCAGATACCAGCAGGGTCACCCATGGCAGACAGGTTTCAGCTGAGCTTCTAGACTAAGACAGACAAGGAAGAAGGACACATCAGTCCACTTCTGAAAAGAATTAGACAATGAAAACCTTATGAATAGCAGTGGAACATTGTACACATTGCCTGCCCCAAGCCATGGTATTTTCAATTGCATCATATGCATGCAAAAGCTGGACAATGAATAAGGAAGACCAAAGAAGAATTGACGTCTTTGAGTTGTGGTGTTGGTGAAGAATATTGAATATACCATGGACTACCAAAAGACTGAACAAATCTGTCTTAGAATAAGTACAACCAGAATGTTCCTTAGAAGCAAGGATGGCAAGACTATGTCTCACATACTTTGGACATGGTATCAGGAGGGATCAGTCCCTGAAGAACGACATCACGCTTGGTAAAGTAGAGGGTCAGCGAAAAACAGGAAGACCCTCAACGAGATGGATTGACACAGCGGCTGCAACAATGGGCTCAAGCATAACAACGATTGTGAGGATGGAGCAGGACCAGGCAGTGTTTTGTTCTGTTGTACGTAGGGTCGCTATGAGTCAGAACCAACTCGACGGCACCTAATGATAACAAGATAGCTATTATCAAAAACAAACAAAAAAAGGAAAATAACAAGTGTTGGCAAGGATGTAGAGAAATCGGAACCCTGGTGCATTTTGGGTGAGAATATAAAATGGTGCAGCTGCTGTAGAAAGCAGTTTGGTGGTTCCTCAAAAAGTTAAACAGAAAATTACCATGTGACCCAGCAACTGCCTCCTAGGTATATACTCAAAAGAACTGAAAGCAGGGACTCAAACAGATACTTGTATACTAGTGTTCATTATGGTACTATTCACAATAGTCAAAAGGTGGAAACAACTCAAGTGTCCACCAGCGAATGAATGGATACACAACACGTGGTCCACCCATGTTGTTAGGTGCCATTGAGTCGGTTCTGACTCACAGCAACCCCGTGTACAACAGAATGAAACACTGCCTGGTCCTACACTATCCTCACAATCATTGCTACTTGAGCCCATTTTGCAGCCACTGTGTCAATCCATCTCGATGAGGGTCATCCTCTTTTTTGATGACCCTCTACTTTACCAAGCTTGATGTCCTTCTCCAGGGACTGGTCCCTCCTGATAACATGTCCAAAGTACGTGAGACAAAGTCTCGTCATCTTTGCTTCCAAGGAGCATCCTGGCTGTACTTCATCCAAGACAGGTTTGTTCATTCTTCTGGCCGTCCGTGGGATATTCAACATTCTTCACCAACACCACAGAATGAAGTATTACTCGGCCATTAAGGGAAATGAAGTTGTGATACAGGCTACAACATGGATGAACCTTGAAAACATTACAGTCAGTGAAATGTCAGACACAAAAGGACAAATATTGTATGACCCCCCTCCCCCACTCACATGAAATATGTAGAGTAGGTAAATGCATAGAAACAAATCAGTGGTTAGCACAGGCTGGGGGTGGGGGGAGTCACTGCTAAGGGGTAAAGAGTTTCTGTTTGGGGCAATGAAAATTTTGAAACAGTGGTAATGGCTGTACAACATGCTGAGTGTGATTAATGCCACTGAATTGTACACTTAAACA